AATCCATGACATGCTCGATGCGTCTTGAAGCTCCTGCGGATCTGGCGCAGAGTCTAAATGTCACGGAGTTGGTGCGTCACGGAATTCTGCCCCACCTATCGTGTGACGCTACGCCTGCGTCAGCGCCGACACCAGTACCGACGCCAGCATCGACGCCAGCGCCTCCACCAGCACCGACGCCAGCACCAACGATGGCGCCGACGTCAGCACCGACACCAGCACCGACGCCAGTAATTGGGCCTGCGCCTACGCCGGCACCAACGCCAGCGCCTACACCAGCGCCGACGCCAGCATCGACGCCAGCAGCAAGGGTGCACCAGTGAGCTGCCCAGCTCACCGGTGTTCCCTCCTGCCTGGTCGCTAGTACCAGTCCCAACACCAACCCCGACTCCCCCACTCCGACGTCCAACACCGACGCCGGCACCGACGCCAGCACCAACTCTCCGCCAGCAAACATGCTAGTGCCGATGCCAGCATCGACACCAGCACCGACGCCAGCATTGCAAGCGCATACACCAGCGACAACGCCAGCACCGACGCCAGCACGAGCACCAGCGCTCACCCCAGCGCCGACGCCAGCCCCGACACCAGCGCACCGGTGAGCTGTGCGGCTCACCAGTATCCCAGGAGCGCACGCTGGAGCTTACGCCAGCGCCGACGCCAGCACCGATACCAGCATCAACAGTTGCGCCGACGCCGGCACCAACGCAAGCGCCTACACCAGCGACAACGCCAGCACCGGTCCGTGAGTGGCACGTTTGGTCCGCCCCACCGCCTGGCGTCCGATGGTAGTGGTGCGGTGCTCCGTCCACTGCCCCTCGCCTACCACGTTTGCTTTCCCTTTTCCTCCTGTGTCGATCGGTCGCGCGTGATTTCATTGATATAGTGCAGACGGGCTCTTTGCCCAGCTCGGGGCGCCCGCCCACTCAGAAGCCTCTGCCCCTCCGCTCCGCGGGGGTGGACGCCGCTAGTGGCTTCGGTGCGCCACGATCGTCCTACCAATCCCCTTCTTCAGTGCTCCTTGGTCTAGATTGGGACTGATAGTATTGTCCGAGTGTGGATGGCCGGCCAGTGGAGCCCTTGGCTGTGACCTGGCGTCCATTAGATCTCGTTTCTCCGGCGCCCTGTCTCTCCGTCTCTTCTTGCTACCCGTAGATCGGCATTGCACTGTTTCGCTGGCTGCGCTGAGTGGGGTCGCGCACGTCTCTCGGCTTCTCCTCCCTCCTTCTGCGCCACCTTCTGTGGCCAGTGCTTTATTTGCCTGGCAGGGGCCAGAGTTTAAAGCAGTCGGCGTGTGGGACAGCCGAAATGTTGGCGGCTGGGCTACCCTCTCTCCCTCCTCGGCCTCCTCCTCCTCCTTCTCCTCCTCTTTGCGCGTGCGTGTAGATTACTTCCCCGCGCACGGCCGGGGCCGACGTCGCTCCTGCCCGCGCTGCCGCCTCGGCCTAGTGCTGTTGGCCGCCAGCCGACCCCCATGGCTACGCCGCGTCGCCGCGCGCCGTCGGACGCCGAAGAAGAGGGCGCAGACATGATCGCGTCGTGATAAAATTAGTCTTTAGACATACGCCTATACACGCGAAGTCCGCCGCACTTAGCGCGTAATCGGCGCAATCGGTCGTGGGCGTGTCTCGGATTGGCGCGTCGAGTGCTGGTGAGCGCTGGCAACACAGCGTGCAGCTGGGTTGGTTCCCGTTTCCGTGGTTCGTCACCTGGGCACTTGTTGAGCTCGGGGCTCAGCTGTGGTGGCAGGCTCTTGCTAGCCGTGGTCGCGGGCTTAACTGGCGAGGCATTGCCTTGCCAGGTTGCTGCTCGCATGGGCTGCTGGGCCTCGCCATGTTGCTGCTCGCATGGGGCTACCATCGGCGGTCCCTTCCGCAGGCCCACCCTCGTCCTTCGCACCTCCTCAGAGCGGCGAGGATGCTCAAGGACTCCTCGACTCGTCGCTCTCCCTCTTTCCCAGTAGCCCCTCCTCCCTCATCGCTGTGCTCTTACTGGCGGGTTCCCGCAGTTTGTTCACAATGTTGTTTGCGTTTGCGCTCCATTTCTGACGATACGAAGAATTCGTTGGCTCAGTCAACATGACCATTTTTGGGGGATGCCTCGAACGATAGCTCCATGTTTCATGAGTGATGTTGTAAACCATATCCTCCAACATCTTCGTTTTGTGAGGATGCCTGAGGCGCAACGTTTGTTTTGGTCCGATAGGGGGATCTCTTTTCCGCGTTGCCGGTTCCATGGTGTTGATGGCCGCGGATTTGGGGGCGTGAGTCGAGCCACGCGGCCCCAACCGCCCGCGCGCTCCGCGCGGGCACGGGGGTCCTGTGCCTCCAGCGGCGAATTCAGGATCCCCGACCACGGGGGCACTGCGCCTCCAGCGGCGTGATCAGGGCCCCCGACGGTCGGGGGCCCTGATCACCTTCAGCTGGTTTGCAGGCCTCCATGGTCCCACAGGTTTCACAGCTCCATCTGGTCTTGCAGGCCTCGATGGTCCCACATGTCGTGCAGGTTACACAGGTCTCTCATGTCACCTTTTGCTGCTTTCAGTGTGCATTGCCAGGGTAAGTTCTGAAGTGCTGGCGCACTTAATTGCTTGAGCTGCGCGCAGTGCCGAATGGGCCATGAGCGCAAGTGGGAACCGCTGCCCCACAAATGCGGGATTCCGCCCGTCCTGGATGTTTTATGTGAACTTGCGGAGGCGGTGGTTTCCATCGTGGTCACGACCGTGAGGTCGAACACGACCTATTTGCCGTAGCCGTCGGGCCTCCGCCACCGCCCACTCGGTAGATCCTCTCGCCGTCCACGAAGTAGAACTGCTGGAACCTCTACGAGTTGAAGAAGCCGCCCATGATCACGAGGTCGAACCGCCCGGCCTCGATGTGCTGGACGACTTCCGCCATCTCTACGCCGTCCCTAAACACCATGTCGAAGATCTTCTCGGCCTCCGACTCCTTCTTCTCCTCCACCGCCGCGGAAACCTCCAACACCGCTCCTTGCCGAAGCTCCCCACGCCGACGGAGAGCAGCTGCGCCCTTCTCTGCACGAACGACTGTACCACCCGCCCGCGCCGAACACCAGGGAGGCCGAGCGAGGAATAGGCCCACTGCTGGTACTCCACCATATTGCACTCCACCGCCACGCAGATCTCGACTGGCTTCTGGGGCACCACCACCTGGCAGGCCAAACCAACGCTCATCTGCCGCGGCGCCTCCTTCACCGAGCCGTAGTCGTGGCAGCACTCGGCGACGACCTTCGGCTCCTCCTGCACCTTCACCTTCAACATGCGCTTCTGGGACTCGGCCGTGTACCCGTCCGCCTGCACGCGGTCTCCCCCGCCCAGCTGCTTCAGCAGGACGTCGACCGTGCCGCGACTGGCGGGCGTGAAAGGCGCGGCCTCTCCCCGCAGTGGGCAGGCCTGCACCCTCACCTGAGCCTCGAGGTCGCTGGCCTGCACGCCGAACGCCCGCGGCAGGGCCCCGCCAGCCGCCCGGTGGCGGCGCGTGCCTCGCCTGGTTGCCCAGCGCCAGCGCCTCCTCCGCCTGCTGCACCACCGCGCCCGGGCAGCCCAGGAGACGGGCGGCCGCCAGCCCTTCACCGAAGGACGGGAAGTGGCAGCCGAGCATGTCCCCGATACGCCAGTGCGCGTCCAGCGCCACGCGAAGCGCCTGCGCCCGCCGCGCCAGGGCTTCGGCGCGAGAGGAGCCCATCTCCTCGCGGCGCTCCCTGCGCAGGCGCCTGGCCAGGGACCGCGCGCTCTCGGCCGCCCAAGCCCAGCCGCCGCCGCCGCCGCCGCCGCCGCCGCCGCCCGACATGGCCACTTGCGCGCCCGGGCGCGCAGCGCGAGGGCCTGCCGCAAGCCAGCTCGCTTGAGCGAAAATAGCTACGGACGTGGCCGGTTCCATGGGCCGAAGGCCATTGGAAGAATTTGAAAAGAACCCGAACAGTAGGGCATTTGGCATGCCAAGCACCCCTGTGGCAAGCACCTGGGGCGGCGGATCGAAGACGCCTACGGCGAATCACCGCCGCCCCCTGCCTTTTTGGAAGCGCCTATGTGGCCGAACGTTGAGGCCAGACCTGCCAAGCTATCGGACCATGTGTTCCCCGAATCGGTTTGGAAAGCCTTCGGGGAACACGTGGGCATCTTGAAGGTCATCTTGGCCGTCTGGAGGCCATTTTGACCCTTTCGGGCCTTCTTGGAGGACGTCTTGGAGGGCTCTTGGGCCGTCTTGGAGGCCATCTTGCGCGTCTTGGAGGCCTCTTGGGCCGTCTTGGGGGCCTCTTGGGGCCGTCTTGGGCCTCTTGGGCGATCTTTGGGGGCACTTGGGCCGTCTCGGGCCGTCGGAAGGCCGAACAAAAAGGAAATGCCACAATCCTTCAAGCACTCAATGGATTTTGGCCTCTTCGGGCCTTCCTGGAGGCCCTCTTGGAGGCCTCTTGGGCCGTCTTGGGGGCCTCTTGGGGCCGTCTTTGGGCCTCTTGGGCGATCTTTGGGGGCACTTGGGCCGTCTCGGGCCGTCGGAAGGCCGAACAAAAAGGAAATGCCACAATCCTTCAAACACTCAATGGATTTTGGCCTTTTCGGGCCTTCCTGGAGGCCCTCTTGGAGGCCTCTTGGGCAGTCTTGGGGGCCTCTTGGGGCCGTCTTTGGGCCTCTTGGGCGATCTTTGGGGGCACTTGGGCCGTCTCGGGCCGTCGGAAGGCCGAACAAAAAGGAAATGCCACAATCCTTCAAACACTCAATGGATTTTGGCCTTCGGGCCTTCCTGGAGGCCCTCTTGGAGGCCTCTGGGCCGTCTTGGGGGCCTCTTGGGGCATCTCACTTGGGCCGTCTCTTGGCCTTTTCAGGCCCTGCTTGGATTTTGGCCTTTTCGGGCCTTCCTGGAGCCCTCTTGGAGGCCTCTTGGGCCGTCTTGGGGGCCTCTTGGGGCCGTCTTTGGGCCTCTTGGGCGATCTTTGGGGGCACTTGGGCCGTCTCGGGCCGTCGGAAGGCCGAACAAAAAGGAAATGCCACAATCCTTCAAACACTCAGTGGATTTTGGCCTTTTCGGGCCTTCCTGGAGGCCCTCTTGGAGGCCTCTTGGGCCGTCTTGGGCCATCTCAGGGCCATCTTCGGCCGTCTTGGTGGGTCCCTGGCCCGTCCGACGCCGTCGGAAGCCATTTGGGGGGCCTCTCTGAGCCGACTTGGGGCCCTCTAGGAATGCTCCAGGGCCGCCTTGGAGGCCATCTTAGGCGTCTTAAAAGCCTCCTGGGCCGTCTTGGGGGCCTCTTGGGGCTGTCTTGGGGGCCCTTTGGGTTGTTCTGGGGCCATATTGGAGGCATCTTGGGCGATCTTTGTGCGATTTTTGGGGGCTCTTGGGCCGTGTCGGGCCGTCGGAAGGCCGAAACGAAGCAAATGTCAAAATCCATCGAAAGCCCAGGGATCATCAGTGTTTTAAGCCTTTTCTGGCCTTCTTGGAGGCCTCTTGGGCCGTCTTGGGCCAGCTTCGAGCCAACTTCGGCCATCTTGGTGGGCTCCTGGCCCGTCTGACGCCGTCGGAAGCCGTTTGGGGGGCCTTTCTGGGCCGACTTGGGGCCCTCTTGGGGCGCTTCGGGGCCGTCTTGGAGGCCATCTTGGACGTCTTCGAGGCCTCTTGGGCCGTCTTGGGGCCATCTTGGGGCCGTCTTGGGGCCTCTTGGGTCGTCATGGGGCCCTCTTGGAGGCCTCTTGGGCGATCTTGGGGCGATCTTGGGGGCCTCTTGGGCCGTCTTGAGCAGTCGGAATGCCGAGAAGAAGCAAATGCCCACATCCTTCAAAACCTACGGCAAATCAATGATTTTGGCTTCGTCGGGCCCTCCTGGAGGACCTCTTGGAGGCTTCTTGGGTCGTGTTGGGCCGTCTTGGAGGCTTCTCGGGCGACCTTGGAGGTATCTTGGACTCTCTTGGGCCGTCTTGAAGGCCGTCTTGGACCATCTTGGGCGGACTTGGAGGCCATCTTGGACCATCTTGGGGGCCATCTTGGGCCAAGGTGGTCATCTTGGAGGCCATCTTGAGCCGTCTTGGAGGAAACCATTGGGATTTGGGCTCTGGGCAGTGGCCGGCGGGACGGGCCGACGCCCCAGGGGGGAGTTCTTTTGGAAAAAGAACCAAAACGCAAACTGAGGGGATCTGGCACGCCAGGCACCCCATGTGATGAATCAACAGGGGGCGGCGGACCGAAGACGCCTACGGTGAATCATCGCCGCCCCCTGCCTTTTTGGAAGCGCCTGTGTGGCCGAACGTTGAGGTCAGACCTGCCAAGCTATCGGACCATGTGTTCCCCGAATCGGTTTGGAAAGCCTTCGGGGAACACGTGGGCTTGGCCGTCTGGAGGCCATTTTGACCCTTTCGGGCCTTCTTGGAGGACGTCTTGGAGGGCTCTTGGGCCGTCTTGGAGGTCATCTTGAGCGTCTTGGAGGCCTCTTGTGCCGCCTTGGGGGCCTCTTGGTGCCGTCTTGGCCTCTTGGGCGATCTTTGGGGGCACTTGGGCCGCCTCGGGCCGTCGGGAGGCCGAAAACAAAAGCAAATGCCACAATGCTTCAAACACTCATGGGAAATTCATGATTTTGGCCTTTTCGGGCCTTCCTGGAGGCCTTCCTGGAGGCCCTCCTGGAGGCCTCTTGGGCCGTCTTGGGCCGTCTTAGGGCCATCTTCGGCCGTCTTGGTGGGCTCCTGGCCCGTTTGACGCCGTCGGAAGCCGTTTGGGGGGCCTCTCTGGGCCGACTTGGGGCCCTTTTGGAATGCTCCAGGGCCGCCTTGGAGGCCGTCTTGGAGGCCTCTTGGGTCGTCTTTGTGCCCTCTTGGGGCCGTCTTGGGGGCCTCTTGACTTTAAACGGAGAGGGTTAAAGCCGATATGTAAATCGAGCATGCACCGCTGCCGTGCCTGGCTCAAGCCGGGCCCGGCCGAACATGTGATTGTGCCTCACCGAGGCGCACTACTCGCATCTGAGATCGGAAAAGACCTTTCTATTGAAGATGCCTCTTCTATCCTTTACTCCAGATCCCATGCTTCATCTTGCTCTCTTGCTCATGCGGTATGAGCCAAAGCCTGGGATATGGGAGCGCCTAAGGCGGAACATATATCTTGGCTTACCAGTGCGTTTTCGACTTGGTAGCGGAGCTGGCTACACTCTCGTGTGGCTGGCTCTCGCTCTAATACCCATCATCCACGGCACAACTTGGTGGACTACTACTACGGTGGAATACCATGTTGCGCCGGCTCTGCGAGGAGCGGAGCCAGTCCGCGATCGGGCTAGCGGGGCTACCCGCGAGCTCGAGACGCTCTCTCCTACCTCACTGCGCTACTTCACTCCCGACTTCCACCAGATGCCAATCGGCAACTCGATCGAGAACGTGGTCACTCTGCGGGGCTACCCGCAGCGGGGCCACCTGCATCCCGTGCCGGTCAGGCGCCTTACGGCTACTACGCCCGAGCCTGACAAACCACAGCCTAAACCAATCACCGAAGCCGAGATGCACATGCCGTGGATCAAGATAACTATCTTCGGCATTCTATGGGTGATAATGGGATGTGCTGTGGGCTACATGCGGCAGGGGATGGACGACACGCGTACTACCGGCCCTTCTTGGGACCCAGCCGGGACCACGCCCTTTCGCGAGTACGTTCGCGAAGTACATGCGTGGATAAACGTGGCGAGCGGCAATATGACGCCACCTCAGCAAGCTGCAGCACTACAACGTGGTCTTCAAGGCCTTGCTCGTCGTATCGCCATGCAGGTCCCTTCCCAGATCATCAATTATGGTGTAAATGTCAACGGACAGCCAACGGATGCAGTTACTTATATACTTTATCTATTGAGTACCAAATTTGAAAATCTGGAAGATGAGCGCCAGCTCAACTCTGGCACTGCCCTTATCGACTTTTGCGTCGAAAGGGGCGAGCGAATCGACTCAGTGTTAGCTCGATTCGAGATGGCCCGTGACGAGGCTAACTCTGTTGGATTTGTCATCCCCAACTTTCAGATCCTAACGCTGATCCTTTTCAGAGCGTTAGGCGTTGGCGCGTCACGAGCCCAACACCTGCTGGAGCCCTTCAATCATCAGATGCCCAGAACGCAAGCAGACTATGATAGGCTGCTGACCAGGATGAGGAACTACGGGCATGTTGCCGAGCGCTCTCCTGGCAACATTGCGGGCATCTTCACAGGGCACCACGCACATGCAGGTGTCTACGCCACGACTGCGGGGTCACCCGCTGGTCCTGGCGAGCCAAGTCCCTGGGCTGATTCAGCCGATATGCCCAACGAGGCCACTGCCCTCTTAGGGCAGACCGGCCAGGCATCGGCAGAGGCAGCGGAGGCGAACGCCTGGTCGAACTACACGCCGGGCGCCGCCTACACTGCAAGCCCGCCCTCGGGCACAACCCTCTGGGGCCAAGCGGAGTCATCCGCTCAAGGGTCTCAGCCACCCTCTCCGTTTGAATCTGGCACTGACACAGATACCTCATCTGACGGTGATCACAATGGTATGGTCTCTGCTGGCAATGACTATCCAGCTGATGACACTCACCTTTCTGAACAACAAAGAGCGGAAGCCGCTTTTATGGCTTATCGCAAATCAAAACGCCGTTGGAGGCGCATTATGAAGAAACCGGTCAGAAAAGTGAGACGTGCAGTACGCCGATATTTCAAACGCTATGGAAAGGGTCGTGGCAAAGGGGGTCGCAGACGCCGTATGCATGGTAGGGGTATCACTGCTTTCCTCACGTCCTTAACTGATGTAGTTTTTGAAGAAGTTCTTATCGGAGGCAAAGGTCGGGGTCGCAGGCGGACCTCT